AAAATTAAAATTAAAATTATGATTTTAATTCATATTACTTTGCCTCCACTCCTGGATAATTATTAATAATTTCTAAAGCATAGATTGGAGCTATCTTGTTGGGGAATATGCATTCATTTCGGATGGGGAAGGGTGGCCTAACTTTAAATCATGATTTTAATTTGTTTTTCTTTCTTTTATATGATTTTATACTGAATAATTGAATCTATCAAACGAGTCATTTGTTTGTTTGGTGATGTGGACTTACGTTATTAAATTTCAAATAAGCCATTTTAGTTTGTTTACTAAAGTGGACTATAAAGAATTAAATCACACATAGAAAAGTTACGCTAGCTGTTCTCAACATATTGCATATTAAGAGCTTGTTTGGGAGCGCTTTTTAAATAAATAAAAATGGCTTTTTGAACCGTTAGAAGGAAATAAGACACCCATTGTTGACTTTTGGTCTTACAGGTGGGACCCACCAGTTGATGCTGAAAATTTCTACTAAACAAGTCCTAAACTTGGATTTTCCAAGCTCTTATATGATTTTTGTCTCTTTCAACTTTAATCGACAAGACGATTCATTTGAGTACATGAATCTTGAATTTTAATACTCGTTTGAGTTTTAAATAGTTCAAATAGTTTGTTTGAAAATTAATAAGTTATTGTATCATATTAAAACTTAAAGTTTCATTTTAAAATGTCAACTTTATTAAAATAACGAAGCTAAGCCCTTATATATTATATATTATTTAGTTTTTAATCGATGTGGGATATTTCCTTGAATATTGCATGAAGGTCACCTAACGATTTAATATATTTAGACACTTTTTGTCGTTGGAGACTAATTATAATTATAATTAAAGTTTGATAATTAACTTTTTAGCAAAGCTTGGAGACTTAACATGTCCTTGCATGTAATTGTTATTTTGACATTATGGAGAGCCAGTCTTTAGTGACACAATTAATTAAATTAAAATATTGATGTAACTAGCAATTACAACGAACAAATTCATTAGGATACACGAATAGGAGGGCCTTCACCTAATCAAGAAAAACCCTTTTATTTTCTTGATTATTAGTTGCAGATTAATTAAAAAAATAGTTAAGTAGTTAGAGAAGTCTGCCAGAAACACTTTCATAGGAAGATTTAACAACCTAATAATGGAATGTATTATAAAACATTATACAAGTCTATGTTCATGTCGTCTAATCGCCCAAACTTTCGTGCTTTCCACCTTGTTTTCTTCCACTTTCGCATGCTAAAGAAGGTCCTTGAGTTTATGTTCATTATTCGACACGTTTGATCAGTATAGAGTCCGACCCTATCGAATACTCTAATCTATTTATTATGATTCACGTTTGTACTTTCAACCCCGCCTTTTGTTCTATTTGTATTTTTTTAAGAGATCCGGCAATTGGGCTTTCATGATTGTGCCTCTATTTGGAAAACTTTTTTAAGAAATGTAAAGTTACTTCAACTCTTTAATCAAAGTTAAATTTAAGAGTCATGCTACTTGTACATGACATTTTGAGGTCCTCACCACTATTCTTTGTAAAAAGTTACGAATAATATTTTCAGATCACCACTATTTTTTCTAGAACAGAGTATGACGACATGAATTTCTTCATTTTATTGTTCGATAAGATAGATTAAAATGTTAAAGAAGATAGATTTTCTATGTTTAGTATTGTCAATTATTATATACTATAGTTCGCAATTCTATGCTAAACACACCTATTATTGAATGTATGGCGTCTGGCAAGACTCCAAAACTTTCGTATATCATATTACATTTTAATTCATTTAAAATTTTAAAGGCTAAAGAGAACAATACATTAATTTGGATTATAACTTCACTACGTAGCCAGGATTTCAATCTTGCGGGAGTGGGCTTGAAAATCTTTTTTAATTAAGAGGATTGAAAACGACGATTTTGAGTACCAAAATAGGCAAGTTAGATTGACTGACCAAAAAGACAATCAGTTTGTCAATACAAAAACAATATGTCCATCTATGTGTCTAACGCTATACAAATTGAAAATACGAACGTTAGATGGACATCAAAAAGATAAAAAATAAACTGCCTATCTATATAACAGATGGTAGAGATGGTTTGGACATCTGAAATTAGTCTTTCCTTGTCTTCATCACTTCAAACTCATCAATAAGAGAATCTAATGGAAAAGTATCAACAATCTCCTTCTCTATATACACAAGTATGGTACTGGACAAAAAATCATCTACCATTCTATTACGCAACATTGTCTTAATGACACTTATGGCTAAAAATACACGTTCTTTAGTTGCTTTTGGGTAATTGATTCATAAATGGGTCATTTGCTTTTGAATTTGATTTGTGCTATTTATTTATTTAAGTAACTATTGGATTTTTTGTTTAGGTATAAGATTTTTGTATGATTGAATTTTAAAGTGTAAGTTATTGGGTCAATATTTATTAATGGAAAAAAAATTTCAAAATTTTGTGGGAGCGAGTCAAAATTTTTGCGGGGGGACGAAACTGAAAAATACATTACAAACTAACTAAAAACAATGGACCAGCGGACAATGTTGGAACTTCACACATTATGCTTGTGATCATCGAATAGAAATGAGTGGTTGCTATTGATGAATGTATAGTTGTATCATGTATGAAGAGAGAAAAAAAAAAAGGAAATATTATCCAATAAATTAGTGAACTAGCCTACAATTAAAACTTCCACTTTCGACAATTGAGATAGCGGGTCATCCAATTTTGAGTGGAAGTGTATTTAGGTTACTTATTTTTTATTTAGTGCATACTCAACTTCGATTTGCTTATAGATCTAATTACTTATATTCAATTTGGTCAATCAAGTCATCAAACTTCTATTTACTTGCAAATCTTGTCATTCTATGTACTTTTCCATCAATTTAACCAATGCTTTTATGTTGACAAGAACGTTAAAACTACCATACATGTCCATGTCAAACAAAAATACTCATCGCCCATCTTAAACTGTTTTCTTAAAAATCATATAAGCTAAAAACACATTTGTTTTTCATGTCAGCTATTCATTATTTTTAACGTTGAGGTCATCATATTTCTACAGTTACACTGACGTAAATAACAAAGCGACCATATTTGTAAGCAAATAAATGTTGATTGTGTTGATTGTACCAAGCAAATAAATAATTACTGAATATGTTTGGGAGAGATTTTAATCCAATTAAAATTGAAAATATAAACGTTATTGAGTCTCACTCGTCTAATATAAGTCAACAATAACGGCTAGTTTTTTAATTTTAATCCGATCTTAATTCCTCCCAAACAAGCCTTATAGCAATCGATGTTGGGTAATCTCATTTCTCCAAATTGAATATTAGTGACCTAGATGTACCTCCAATTAAAGTTGGATAACCCGGAGTACAATAAAACCGAAGAGAAAAGCCCGATTTTATAAATTGAATTGCACTGGCTTGTGCGCTTTCAAATCTGGTGAACCGGCTTGCGTGCTAGGAAAGATGTGTTCTTTGTAAGGGGACCGGTCGAGAATAGGAGGAATTGATTGGTTTTAGACAAATCGTGACCTATGAATTTAACCGGTTCGCAAAATTATTGTAACATGTGCAACTAATAACTATTGACTGAAGATAATAAATGAAATTTTGAAATATTCTTTATGAGTGTTTATGTGTGCATATAAAACCATAAAAGAAAGTGAAGACGAAAAGAATAAGAAAAGAACAAAATATGAAATACGTTAGATTTGTACCAACTTGACTTGATCAAGTTGGTCTTGAAGAATTGCTTAAATAAAAATATAATTAACATTTCATGTTTTGGGTAACAAAGAAATATCGAAGAAAATTTTAAATCAGGGCCCTTCTTAAGCACATGTTTGACAACCATTATTTTTTTTTTTTCGGGTTGAAAAAACCAATGGTTTGGATAGTGATTTTTGGGAGAATGTGTAGTTAAAAAATAGATGAAAAAATTTAGATTTACGTGTAGAATATTTTAGTGCCTGTTTGACACCCATTAATTTTTTTTAATGATTTAATACAAAATTATTTTTAATCACATATTCACATAATAAAATATTCTATACGCAGACCAATTTTTTTTAAAATATTTTTTAACAACACATTCTCCTAAAAATCACTATTCAAAACTCATTTTTTTCCCAATTAATAAGAATGAAACAGACTATTTATTGTGTGAATGTTTGATTGAAAATGATTACTTAAATAAAAGAGTTTGAAAATAATGATTATAAACAAGGGCTAAATTTCAACTCTTAAAAGGGCCCCTTAAAAATGATTGATCTCAAGGGAACACCAAATGCTGAATTTCTAACTATGAATTATAACATGATCTCATGATTGTTTGTTATCAAGCAAATAATAATAATAATCTTTTCTACATAATTCTTTCAATATAAATCAATATCAGCTTTATCCAAAATTATTAAACAAATTAGGAAAATAATTACCAAAAGTTAAAAAGTACACAATTTCTCCCTAAAATGAAAAGAACTACACAAGCAAACAACACATCTAAAAGATAACATTGCCCCCAGGGCACATCTCCAAGTGGTAAAAGGGGAAGGTGGAAAAATTCTAACTTTGCTTGAGGTCATCGCGTCAAGGGTTCGATTTCTAAAATATGGATTTGGCTCTTGGGTAAGTGCAAGTGTACAAGCAGTCTTTCACCCTATACCATTGAAAGCATAACCTGCGATTTACCTCCTTCACCATGACCTAGGGCAGGGCATGTAGAGGCCGTTAAGAATGCGGCTCATCCTTTTTAAAAGATAACATTGGTGACTGTTCGCAAACCATCAAAACTCAACGGACTTATTTGGCAAACAATACTAGTTAAAACGGACATTTAATAAACTTCTTTTTTATTTGTAATATTGTTTAGTACCGTAGAGTTGATCTCACTAGACAAGCCACTTATGTACAACAAACAAGTCACAAGAGGAAAATGAAAAAACCGAAAATGGAGAAGTCTTGCTCTAGCGACGTGAAATTAATCACAACACATTGGACATCGTACAAGTCCATTTTCATTGCAATCAGGGCATCGATGAAAGCCATATTCATGCTCATGTTCATTGTATTCTTCCTCAAAATCATCCTCATAGTGTATTTTACAGCTCCCGGAACATGTTTCGCAAGGCACAAATCTTACATCCCCACAAGCTTCACAAACTCCAATTCTTCCACCTCCGCCACTACTGTCCTCCACCGGTTCACAGCTTTCCACCAGCTTTTCGAGCTGTCCCTCCTCGTTCATTCGCCGGATTTCCTCTGCCCCACCAACATATTTCTGTCCAACGAAAACTCTTGGCAAGCCCCCTCGGAATCCGTCCCCCACTAACTCTTTCAGCTCCTCCTTGAATCCTGAATGCATTGATACATCCCTCTCATCAACCTTAACACCTAATCCTTTTATCATTATTCGAACATGGCAGCAATCCTCGTAAGTCTTTCTCACACCTCTTAGGCTTGTATAATATACAATCACCTTGTCTGTACCGCGTGCCGCATTAACCTGATTCCCCACGAAAGTGCTATTAGGTTTTTGCTCATCATCCATTACAACCAAAAGCTGATCCTTTCCGGCCAATGCCGCCTGCTTTTCACTGTCCAATGACTTGAGGTGAAACGGATTGGCCGGAGGAAGATCCTCAAGTGCTTTTCGAAAAGTGGAAATCACTTCAGGATCAAATTCTGAAACTATAGATGTATCATTTGAATTCGAGTCATTGTCAGACATATCGGGCCATAATGGAATGGACGGCACTTCAACATTTTCTTTCACTCTTTCCATAGTTTGATCATCAAGATGAGACAAAATTGGATTAGGCGGAGTATGGACTGATGTACCATTTGAATTCGAATTCGAGTCTTTGTCAGTCATATCGGGCCACAATGAAGTGGACGATGCTTCACCGTTTTCTTTTAATCTTGGCGTCGATTGCTCATCAAGATGCGACAAATTTGGATTACGGGAAACCTGGAAAGAAAAACTACGAAGATGGTGAGGAGGCCTTAGAGGGCCAGAGTCCTCAAGACCTTCCATCAATTCCCAAACATTGATCGTCTCGGGCTCACCGGGAGGAGTTCTTGTAGGCGTTTTAGCAATCACCTTTGGGATTTTCTCGTTGATCATTTTTGACCAAGTTTTCGCCTCGATCATCTCCATTTTGAGCTCATCTTTAATCACTTTCTCTTTATTGATTCCCCCATTGTCAATCGGAATCTCATCTTCTATAAAGTGATTCTGATTTAATGGATGATTCCGATTCAACGGATCAAGCCTCAAAGAACCCAATGTGGATGAAGCAAGAGCCACCACATGGTGGCTATCGTCTGATTTCCACGGCGGGCGGCGGACGTGCATTGAGTAGCTCCGACGCACCGGCGCCTGGCAATTCCGGCATTTTTTTTTCTTCGAATTTACGCAACCCATTATCAGAGAAAACAAACACAAATCAAGAAATGAATTACTTTATAGCAAAACAATCAGATTATTAGAGAATTGAAACAATTCTATTATTTTCTCGCAAAACGGATATAAAGAACATTCCCAGATGAATGAGCTGGAAGTGCAATGGATTAGGCAGAGATTCCAAGAATATAAATAATCAAGATCGAGGAATAAAATTATAAAAAAATTGGAAAGACTGAAGCAACTGGAATGAATTGCAGAAATTAAGAAAGAAGAATAGAGAATTGATCGAACAGTTAACAGAGAGAAGATCAAGTTGATTGTCCTCTATAAAAAATATGCAAAATATGATTCATTCAAAGGAAAACTGATTATAAAACCATAAATTTCAGACAAAACACACCACGTTAGAACACGCGACAAGAAATCTGCAAAAAACGACAATGTCTGAAAAAATGGGATCAAAAATTTCCAGCGCAAATATAGGACATCTGGTTCTATTGCAGGGGAAATCAAGAATTGGAAATTGAAGAACGAGGAAATTGGGAGTCGAAAGAAAAGGGCAAAGAATGAGACCCTTTCAGCATCTTCTTCTCCCTCTTCTCTCTCTTCCTTCTCTCTCTTGACAGACGCGAAATGGGAGATACATAAAATGGAGCAGAAACCAGAAGACCCCTTCTAGCAAGGATTGGAATGTGAGGTGCATACAAATTTGGATGGCGAAACTCTTTTCTTTTCGGAGTGGAATGTTACATATATCTATAATAATAAATATTAATCTATCTATCTAGATCAAAATTTTAGAAATTTGAAACATGAAATAAGAAATAAACTGGATTTTGAGTAAATCTATCCATTACTCTGAAAGTGAATCCAATTTTTAACATTTTGTTGACTTGTATTGAATATTATATATTAGAATCATAAGCCTCATGTTATTCAGTATTATAATTTCTTATATATTAGTGATAAAGTGTGTCTTACACGTTATTTGTACTTATAAACTTGATAAATATTTGTAAAATTAAGCGAAATTGTACTTAATTTAGCTTAAATATTCTTATTATAGGTAAAACTCGAACTTTGGAGGCATTGGGAGAAAAAAGAGGACTTTGGGCTTAACTGAAATTCATTCTAAACAATTGGAGACTAATTGAATTCAATGAGATTGATAAACAGCATTAAGAGGACAATTGGAGGGAAGTTTTTAAGTGTCGAGAGTAAAATTTAACACTTGAAAAGTTTGGGGATTGATTTGCAAACTTTTAAAACTTGAGAAGGACCAATTGTGAATGATTGTAAAGGTTTGAGGACCAACATGGAAGATTTTGGACATGATCAATATTGAAAATTTGAATAAAAAAGGATCAAAATAGGACTAAAAACTTGTACTCACATAGTGCCATTTGATGGTAATTGCAAAATTGATATTTCTTACTCTAGAAATATAAATTCGATTCGTGCATTCTTTTCATTTCATATTTCTTCCGCACCACTTTGTATGTTTGTTAATTGATTTAAGTGTTGGAGTATGTGCTATTGAAGTTTCCGTCACTTTGCTTGGACAAGCCTCGATATGTGCCTCTAACCTATGCTTATTTGTGCAAATAACTTATGTGAAGGAGATATGAGCGATGATCTCTTGACGTGTTGGATCCAAACCAAATTTTGGGGTCAACAAATTTTATTAATCTCAAACAAAATGAAAAATCAATAACTAGAAAATAGATGCAAAACGTTTCATAAACTAATATATAGGTTATAATTCGTTATTTAATTAAGAATATTTTTGTCCATTCAACTACTTATATTGATGTATTTGTAAAATTTTTACTAGATGGTGCCTTTTGTATCCATTATGCAAAATATAGTATGTAAAATATAAATTTATAAAGTAAGATACGCAAAGTGTAATTACACCTTATATACATCGTGTATTTTGTAAATTTTCATATTTTTAATGGGTGGCTATATTAACACCGCAATTTCTTATAAGTGCATTACGTTTTAATTGCATTAAATATTCTTAACTTTTACTTATTATTATACCTATGAGCCCTCTACTTTTTTCATTACATTTTTATGGTCAACATTCCGCTGATTACTACATCTTATCTATGAGTACATTTTTCAACCAAAAAATCGTTAGAATTGGGCATAAAAAATATTATTGACTAGTTATTTTGTACATTTTTCGATTAAGATATATCATTGACTCCCAGTGACTCAAAGGGATTACCAACACTAGACGCAATCTAGGACTCGTGTGACTCTATTGTTCCAAGATTCTCACAACTATATTCAATGTATAGTTTTGTAACAAAGAAGATTACTTCCGTTTTCAGTCTGTATTATTATTGTACGAATTTGTATTATTGATATATTCAATGTGTACGTTTTCAATCTGTGAGTTGCTTAAGAACGCTTGTGCACCGTATATTCAAATTATTGTACCAACTTTTCAGTATACTTTAGAAAAGATCAGTCCTCGTGCATCTTGTGGGAACAATCTCTTTCTTTCCTCAAAGTTTTTGAAGTAAGATTGACCTTCAATAACATTGTATTATTATAAATTAATTTGCAGAACGAATAGGAGCTTTGTACTTGGATAAGGTTAACCCAGAAATTTGTCTCAAAATCTAAGCAAAGGTCAACCAGTGTAAACTAAATTATTGTCGTAGAAAATTGGTAACACAGAGACTATTTTTTATTATACGTGTCAAATTGACATGATCGACATTCGGATTGATTCATTATTGTGAGAAGCACCGCTCACCGGAATGTCCATATCGAACCAATTTAATGGATCACAATACCTGCCATCATTTCACTGAAAATCCCATTAGAACAAAAATTTAAAAAGGAAAAGGGAACACCATGGCCAATTTTTGGCTCCAAGTGGACCAGCCTGCCTTGGCGACGAGCCTCAAAATCTTCTCTAAAAATATTTAATTATTAGACTAGAGTTGTAATTATATTTAAAACGTATATTTAGATAAGATTTATTGTTTTTTTTTTTTTCAAAATTCCGATATGTAGAGTTTTCATTAATTGATATTTGAACTTAAAATCTTTATTTGTTCTTCCACGACGATGTTATCGAAAAATTTAAATCATTAAAAAATAATTAAGATAAATTATTATTTATATCTAGATATTTTTGATGAGAGGCGTTGAGTCATTTTTGTGGAGGATTAAAGGGAAAGATTAGAAACTTAGAGATCTTATATCGCATTTTAATTAATTTTGTTCTTTTACTTTCCCCATTTGCTTGGATCTTAGACAATGGCGGAGTCAGAAAAAAAGCTTAGGTGAACTGAAATTGAATTTTTTCTTCAGTGAACTCATGCCATAAGAGATGTTCTACGCCGTGCGAGATATAGTTTAGAAAGCTAAGCTTGTGAAATTTATAACAAGTGGATGAGTTACTCTAGCAAGAATAAACTTAGACGTCAACACTAAGATGTCCTACTAAATTTTCATAGCTTTCTTTTCCGAAATAAAAAATCAAAGCTCCTCCTAGAAAATATAAAATGACGGAAGCATGATAGGCATGATAAAATGATATATTCCCTACTGTGAGGACTTTGACCAAGAGTTGTGTCATGGTCGAAGGTGTACGGAATGTCCGAACAATGTGCATAGTGGGAAGGAACAAAGCAAGATATTCAGGTTGGTTTTCGGATGCGGCG